GAAAAGGTGACAGAGAAAGGAAAGTTCAGTCCACTTGCTTCACCCAGAGGCTGTCAGTCACTCACACACACAGGCACACCACAGAGTTAGTAAAGTAAAGCAGAAAATGTGCATACTGAGAAAGCAGAGAGGCCAGAACTCTGAGTGTTCTTACCTTGTCCTTAAGATCCTGGACAAGCCCCCAAGATGAATAGCTTATGGTGAACGATGCCAGATTCCTGATCTCTGAAGAAGAAGATTTAGCTTTGGGACCAGGAACCGGGGTTGATCACTCAAGAGCTTTTGTGTAGCAGAGTTTTATTAAAGTGAAAAAGGGACAGAGAAAGCTTCTGACATAGACATCAGAAGGGGGATGGAGAGTGCCCACCTTGCTAGTCTTAGCAAGGGAGTTATATAAGTTTTCAATTGGTTATTACAGTAAATCAAAAAAATGCCTCAAGGTTGTAAAGGTCTTACTAGACCCACTCCCACAATTTACATTTTAAGATGACAAGATTAGAACTGATAATAGAAAAATCTTATCAGACCCACTCCCATAATATACATTTTAAGATAACAGGATTAGTCAGAAGGTTCTCAAGGAGAAACAGGACCTCAAGCAGGATACATTGTTGTTATATAATCATTGGTACAGAGTTTAAGCTGACTTGTTTTGTTGTGCAATCATCAGCTCTGGGCTTAAAGAAAAAAAAAAAATGTTTGTCCTTTTTTCCTCCTTGAGAACCCCAGACCTCTTTCTCTTCCTTGAGGACCCGGGACTTCTTATCAACCTACCTAAGAATCAACTCTCTCAGAAGTACTGTCCTCAGCCACACCAACATTTCCAAAGTCTCAAAAGGCACCTGGGTCAAACCCAACTTTATTACAATGATCTATCTCTCTTTATGTGCTCTGAGCATTGACTTCCATTTTCTGAATGACTGTATATCTATATCTGCTTTGTGAACTACAAGCCTGTTCCATAATTGTCCTAACCTGGCTTCTCCAGAAAGCTGTACCTGATACTAAGCCTCATGGGCAAGGGTTTATTTAGAAATGTGATCTCAGAAGAAAGGAATGATGGATACAGGGATAACAGAAAGAAGAAATTCAAGGAGACATTATGACTTGAGGAGCCTGGTGTGCTATACAGTTCATTAGGTCACAAAGAATCAGACACAACTGAGCCACTAACACGTTTGTTTCTCATTATCTCTTTGCACATTAACAGGAATAACTGGTGTTCAAGTCCATGGGACCTTTTGAGGATCTTTAGGAAACGATCTCAGAACTCTTTGATGATCTCACCTGGGGATGAAGGCAAGGAGTGTTTATCCATAGCCTTCACTACCACCATTTGTCCAATTTGGTTTCATGTGCATTAACCTCCCCCACACTCTGGACTGAGCACACAAGGGTGCATTGTGTTCCACGGGTTCCCTGAATGGTAGTATAATAGAAGCCCTGGCTCAGGAAGGGAGAGGAGGTTTCTATAGAAAGCCCATCCAAATCTATACAGAAAGGACCATATGACAGTGTGTGGATAACTGGTAAAGCAGATAGAATTTGTAGGGATGCCCAAGAGATATCTAGCACAGTTAACCAGCAAAACCAAGACATAAGAAAATTAGTAGCATCCTATTATCCTGAGAAATGCATCAGTGTAAGAGTCAAGGGCATGTGGGGAGAGGCTAGTTGCACTCAGAAGCCATATGGCTTCCCAGAAAATACACTGCTTAATCCAGCATTGCTAGTGAATAAAATGAGCTTCCATATATAGCAGAAATGACCTTAACACTCAACTATTCAGTACATTTTTTACAAAAGCAGGAGAATAAAGAGGAAATTCCAGGAACTGGAAAGGGTAAAGTGTCACTGAGGGAAAGGAGGCATGAGTCAGTTAGGTTCATCAGGTCAAAGCTTAGAGAGTATTGAATGACAGTTCCCCTTTGCACCCAGGGATGTGGGTCCAGGAGAGACATGAGAGGCAGCGGTTCAGCCCCTGAGCTGAGGTTCAGGTCAGCCAGGTCCATGAGCAGCATCATGGAGGACCGACAAGCAGGAAGCAGTTCACCCTAGGTCTGAGAATCCCACCAGATCAGCAGCAAGGTGTGCTTGGAACTCCTTCCATAGGGCCCCTTAGAGATATGGTTTGGGTGAGAAAATGTGTGTACCCAAGTCTAAAGAAGAACTAAATTAGTAGAAGAGGCCTGGAACTCAGGCATGGTAGTGGCATTGGCCCTTGCCCACAGGGAAGTAACTGCATAAGCTCTAGAGAAATATGTGGTTTGGCATAATAGCAGAAACATCTTTGTCTTGATGAGCCCTTACCCTGCCTCTCAGCCCATATTGTGAGGTTTGTCACAAGGGTGAAGTTCCTTTTATAAGGAATGCCCTAGCCATTCCCCAAGAAGCCTCTGCGTGTCTCATAGCAAATAGTGGCATCATTCATGCATCCATCCTACGATCATCAGTCCACTAAGCAGCTACTACACAGGGTGCCAGGTGGGGATGGACATAGGGGAATGGCTAAGAGGACCCAGTGGGAGGAGCTTCGGTGCTGCCTGTCTGGTCGGCTCAAGTTAGGGGGACGTGACACAGCTGTGGAGCCAGCAGCTACTCCACAAACATGAAGGTAAGCAGTGTAAGAAGGAAGGGACCGCCCAGACACTAGGGTTTAAAGAATAACCTGGATTTTCCAAAGACAGCAGCTTGACACAGATTGTATGTTTGAGGTCAATCTGGGTTAGTGACCTCAGCTTCACTTCATCTTGAGCAGAATGAATTCTAGTATAAAGGGTAAGGAATCCTTTATCTCTCCTCCCTATGTGGTCTCTAAGAAGTGGTAACCATGAAAGGCAGGGTCTTCATGGCCTGCTGTCACATAAGACAGAACAAGTGGATGCACCAAAAGTGCCAGGTTGTTCTGGGGCTGCAGAAATTGTCTTCACCAACGTTTTCACTCATCACAGTCCCTATGCCCTTCTGCTATTGACTCTAAAGCCTTTCTTGGAGTAAAGGCTTTTTAGGACCCAAAGAATCATTTTAGCATTGCCTTCCCTCTTCCAGGCTACACTGAATGATGGATAAACAAAATTAATACTTTTTTTCCAACCTGGGGAAATTCATACCACCATAACTTTGGCCTTCCAGAAGAACCAGAAACACCTGTTGTTCCTCTCCACATCCACTTCAAATGTTAACCAGCCCAAGTCCAGTCTATACTAAGGATTAGGAACTTCTAGAAAGCAGGCTTATTTTTAGTCAGCAGTCCTAGAACTTCTTCCTCCTCTCTCCTTTCAGCCCATATCACCCTTATTATAACTCCAGACAACGGTGCAAAGTGTGCTCAGTGGAGGTAAGTCCTACATGACATTGTTGTCAGACAGCAAATGCAAAAATAAGTTGGTGGTTTCATCACAAAACCTTAGCCAATAGTTATATGAGTGGGTGTAGGATGAATCATGTTTGGCAGGCAAAAAATGAAAACACAGCAACCCAGAAATATTCTGTTCCTCAAGACAGGTCTCATTCCCTATAAAAAAAAAAGCCAGTTGATTGGGGACACCACATCAGATCTAAGTAACCACACAGCTTGCCCTTCTCCATGTAGCAGGTGAGTCTTTTTTCTTGCAATCTTTTATCATTCCCTCAATGTATTTGACTTCTGTTGGAATCTCCTGGGTATTCTTGGTGTCTTTCCCCCCACTAAGAAGTCCAGCCATTATAATGTTAACCTCCAGGAATATCTTTATTTTAAAAGCAATCATAGCTCAGGCTTGAAGGGACTTAAGACTTTATCAGTTCTGCTCCATCACTTCTTCTTGTGTCAGTGAGAAGGGGACTGGCTTGTGCAAGGACCCACAGTTGGCAGGATAAGGAATAATAGTGAGAGCCACAGCACTCTTAATAACCTTTTAACTGTTTCTTTATTCATAATTTCAATACAGAGAATTTTATTCTTCAACAAATTGTTTTGTGAATATTCACTGTGTTTGGCCCTTTAGTGCTAAAATATATATATATATATGTCACCTTCAAGAGGTGATGAGGACAAGTAAAGTGCTAAGGTGGTTCAGGAAGACAGGTAATTTCTGGAAGTCTTGCTGTAGTAAAGCCTCCCAAAACACCATTTCAAGCCATCTGTGATCCATGGTGGCTGGATACTACTTGAACAAGCAGGAATAAGGAAAACATTTGAGGATGTGAGTGAAGCCAGAAGTAGATTTGCATAGGTTCTTTAGAAGTCAGTAGTTATTTATATGCTTTCAAACTGGTGCTGGAGAAGATTCTTGAGAGTCCCTTGGACTGCAAAGAGATCAAACCAGTCAGTCCTAAAGGAAATCAAGCCTGAATATGCTTTGGAAGGACTGATGCTGAAGCTGAAACTCCAATACTTTGGCCAACTGATGTGAAGAGTTAACTCGTTGGAAAAGACCCTGATGCTGGGAAAGATCAAAGGCAAGAGAAGGAGGTGACAGAGTATGAGATGGTTGAATAGCACCACCGACTCAATAGACATGAGTCTGGGAAAACTACAAGAGATAGTGAAGGACAAGGAAGCCTAGAACACTGCAGTCTTGACTCTGGGGTCACAAAGAGGCAGACATGGCTTAACAGCTGAACAACAGTCATTCTGTGTGTGCACGGGCTGAAGTTACTGGGTTTCATTTTTTGTTTTTCTAAATAATATCACATTTCCATATGACCCAATACTGTGATCTCACATGACTGCCAGGAGCCTGCAAATGTATTGTGCTGCTTATTGGGTTTTAAGATGTGCCAGGAAGAAGAAGAGCACTAGGAGAAGCTATGTTCAAGTGCAGCAGAACGATCACCTTTACATTCCTCCTTTTCAAAGGTTCAGAAGTCATTAAGTGTTCTTTGTAGTCGAGAGGGGGAAGAAGCAAGAACATTTCTTGCTATTGAAGAGATGTAAAATGGCATTGAATGTGGCTTCTTCCCTAGTTAATCCCTGTTTAAACCATCTTTCTCTCTCTAGATCCAGCCTCCTTTGAGGCATGAGTTCCCATGAGCAGAAGCAGCCCTGAATCCCACTTCCCCAGCCTCAGCAGCAGCAGGTGAAACATCCCTGCCAGCCTCCTCCCCAGGAACCATGCATCCCCCAAACCAAGGAGCCATGCCACACCAAAGTGCCAGGGCCCTGCCACCCCAAGATTTCTGACCCATGCCAACACAAGGTTCCAGAGCCCTGTCACCCCAAGTTTCCAGAGCCCCGATCCTCAACAGTCACTCCAGCACCAACTCAACAGAAAACTCAGCAGAAGTGAGGTAGGCTACAGCCTAGCCCTAGAGGAACCAACCATCAGATGTTGACCTCCCCCACTCTGGTTAGGGGTCCCATTTGCCTTTCTGTCACCCTGAATCACAGACCTTCTTAATTTACACCCTAAAAATGTGTGCCATGAAGCTTTCCTTCCCAAACACACTGGGCCTCTAACCTCTGAATTAGGCTGAAGGTCTGGCTACCTTAGAACCTTAGCTATCAGGTGCTCAGGATTCACCTGAAAGAGGGGTTCAAGGTGAAAACAAGTGGATCAGCTTTGTTCTTCCACCATTACATGCATTTTCAATTCCACTCCTGACTGTGTGTGTGGTGGTCTGATTCAACTCCTTCATTCCTTTCCTTTGTAAAGTAGGACCTGTATCTAGACAGGTTGGTGAGGAAGTGGTTCATTCAGAAACATCTGGTTCTGGTAAGAGTTGGGTGGGGTGTTGCTCTCAATGAGTATTCCTGGTATTAAGTATTAGTGAGTATTAAGGGCTGGAAACGGGAGGTTGTACAATGCTACCCAGAGGCTCTTTCTTTGGGAATCCAGGACTGGAGCAGGGCTCTCCTCTTAGAACACAGTGAGTCACACTGGAGTCTAGTCTGTGCCTGTCTGAACTGATTGTGAACTCCTCCTCTCTACCACATTCTCCAAATCTGGCTTTCAGATTGCTGACTTATTCATCAATTTCTTGTTTATTTCGGGGGGGGGCTGCTATTCCAATCTATGTGAATCTGCTTCTCCTCACACCTTTCTTTCTGATACCCATAATTCAGATTCCCAAACATACCCAAAGATGCCTCCACTTTTGTCATCTCCATCAATCCTCTTCCATTCACTGAGTGTCCACTCTGTGCCAGAAAGCAGATGAGGAGGACTCAAAATGCTTGCCTTGTGCATTTAGTGTTTGAGAAGGATGTACTTCACTCCTTACTCCATCCTTCATGCAAACACATATACATACCCACGCATACTAGATCTGGAATCTTGAAATCTCCCAGAGTGACACACAAAAGCTCATCCCCTGTATCCCCAGGTATGAAACATACTTCACACANTTGAGGCATGTGGGATCTTAGGTCCCTGACCAGGGATCAAACCTGCACCCCCAGGGAACACATGTAAATCCACGGCTGATTCATGTCAATGTATGGCAAAAACCACTATAATATTGTAAGGTAATTAGCCTCCAACTAATAAAAATAAATGGGAAAAAAAATAAACTCAAAAAAAAAGAATTACAAATCGTGCATTCATATACACGTGTGTATGTTTATACTTATATAAAAAGTATGTGTCTTTTTTATATTACTGAGAAACAAAGCAAATTTTCCTTTGGCAGTATAGAAAGAGACTTCCTTTCTTTTTCAAAATTTTTAAAGTTTTTATTTATTTATTTTATTTTTGGCTGCACTGAGTCTCTGTTGCTGCATGTGGGCTTTCTCTAGTTGCGGCGAGCAGGTCTACTCTAGTCACTGTTCCCAGGCTTCTATTTGTGGTGGCTTCTCCTGTTGACGGGCACGGGCTCTAGGGTGTGTGGGCTTCAGTGGTTGTGGCACATAGGCTTAGTTGCCCCATGGCATGTGGAATCTTCCCAGATCAGGAATAGAACTTGTGTTCTGCACTGCAAGGCAGATTCTTAACCAGTAGACCACCAGAGAAGTCCAAAAAAAGGGACATATTTTCAACTGTGAAATAAAATAATATAAAAAACAACATTAAAAGGTATAATTCAAGCTATAGTGATTCTCTTGATCATAACATTTTTATCTGATTGCATTCTTTAAATTTATTAAATCTACTTAAAAAATATTTACCATCAACATCTTATTATCCTAAATACCTTTTTGTTTAATTGGTTGGTAAGGTCTACCAAGTAAACAGTGCCACCTAGAACAAAAATCAACTAGCCAAAAAAACAGGGAAAAAATGTGCTCTAACCATGCTACCTTTTTAAAAGAAAATTTATAATCATTTAGTTTTATTTTGGAGTATAACTAGTTAACAGTGTTGTGATAGTTTCAGGTAGACAGCAAAGGGACTCCACCATATATGTACATGTGTCTGTTCTCCCCAAACCCCTCTTCCATCCAGGCTGCTGCATAACTATCTTTGTTAGTCTTCATGGCAGCACGGGTAAGCCACTGCAATGAACACCCTCTAAGCTGTTGGCTCCCCTGGTGGCTCAGATGGCAAAGAATCTGCCTCCAGTGCTGGAGACCTGGGTTCAATCCCTGAGTCAGAAAGATCTCCCAGAGAAGGGAATTGCTACCCACTCCAGTATTCTTGCCTGGAGAATTCCATAGACAGAGGAGCCTGGTGGGCTACAGTCTGTGGGGTCACAAAGAGTCGAACACAACTGAAGCGACTAACATTTTCAACTTGTTGTTGCGGCACTATCCAGTAGAAGTTATTTCTTTTCCTTTTTTTTTCTTTTTTCTGGCCATACTGTGAGGGTTGCAGGACTGTAGTTCCCTGACCAAGATTTAAACCTGGGCCACAGCAGTGAAAGCATGAAGTACTAACCAATGGGCAGCCAGGGAATTCCCAGAAGTTATCTCTTACTCACTTCCAATTCCAGTGTGAGTTTGCAAGGTCTTTGCTCCATTCAGTCAAAAGGAACCAGGTTCCTTCCATTGTATGGTCTTACCATCACCAAGGGCCTTGTTCTCTTCTGAATTCCAGATATAAGAAAAGGGCAATATATTGAGTAAGAGAAAAGATAGCCTTGTTTTTATTCATTGGCTTGACTCAAAATTAGTCACATGGCCCTATCTACCTTAGAAAGTCAAGAAATTTAGTTTATCAGTGTGTCCAGAAAAAAGAGGAAAGTAGAAACTGGAGAGCTCTTCAAGGTACTGTCTCAGTCTATGCTGTGGTGTCCAAAGATCTGGTTACTCCTTTTGGTTCCTATGCAGAGACAGTCCCCAAGGAAGAAACATCATAGTTTCATCTCACTCAAAATATAAAGCCTCTGGATGGCTTGTAATTATCTCTAGCATATCTTCCTATGGCTTCTATTGGTTCATTCACACTATGAGGTAAGCAGATGAACCATTTCTTTCTGTTACCCAGGAAACAAGGGTGAAACAGATACAGGAAAACTAAATAGAAACTACCATATGCAAGAGGAAATAACGGAAAGACTCATAGCAGTCAGGCCTTAGTTTCCTGAAATTCAGTTCTGTGAATATTGTGAAGCCATATGACACCACCCTTGTGGCAAAAAGAGAAGAAGAACTAAAGAGCCTCTTGATGAAAGTGAAAGAGAAGAGTGGAAAAGTTGGCTTAAAACTCAACATTCAGAAAACGAAAATCATGGCATGCTGTCCCATCACTTCAAGGCAGATAGATGGGGAAACAATGGAAACAGTAAGANAGATCCTGATCCTGGGAAAGATTGAAGGCAGGAGGAGAAGGGGATAACTGAGGATGAAATGGTTGGATGGCATCACCGACTTGATGAGCATGAGTTTGAGCAAGCTCCAGGAGTTGGTGATGGACAGGGAAGCCTGGTGGTCTGCAGTCCATGGGGTTGCAAAGAGTGACTGAACTGAACTGGGCCCCAACATGCAGAAATGATAAAAGTTCTGTGTTAAGGTCTTGATTCCGCTCTCTGTAAGGAATGCCTTTTCCTTTGTTCTGCCATTGATAGGATTATTACTTTTGTATGAGCAAATCTGAAGCATGCATTGTGGATTGTGCAATCCTCAATTAGGTAACTTTGGCAGCTCACTTTCTAACCAAGTGTGGTTTTAAGGATCTTGGAGGAATGTTTGTTTTGTTTGAGCCTGTGGTTGCTTTGGGGGCATGATTCCTGAAAAGTTTCCTAGGCTTCTATTTGCTTCCAGTCAGTTCTGCATGTCAATAATGATAACCAAATTTATTTTCCCGAAAACATTCTTGTTTATTTGCTTCCTTTTCAAATGCCTTTATTTGTCAACTTATCTTGTTTGACACTATTGGAAAAATTAACTTCAGTGGGATGGCCTTAAACTTCAATCTTGACTGAAAATCTAAGCTTTAATTCTCTCAAAACCATTCTGTTTTATCTCTTTATATTAATATGAAGACACTTAATATATTAATTAACTCTTTATTAATATAAAGAGATAAAACAGAATGCTCTAGAAGAATATAAGGGGCTTCCCTGATAGCTCAGTTGGTAAAGAATCTGCTTGCAATGCAGGAGACCCAGGTTCAATTCCTAGGTCGGGAAGATCCCCTGGAGAAGGGCTAGACTGCCCACTCCAGTATTCTTGGACTTTCCTTGTGGCTCAACTGGTAAAGAATCCACCCATTCAGGAGACCTAGGTTTGATCCCTGGGTTGGAAAGATCTCCTGGAGAAGGGAAAGGCTACCCACTCCAGTATTCTGGCCTGGAGAATTCCATGGACTACACTCCATGGGGTTGCAAAGAGTCAGACACGACTGAATGACTTTCACAGAAGTACATAACTTTCTGGTTTCTGTCTATTATCTTGTGTACTTTATTGTCAATTTATTCAAATCCTTTGTCCATTTTTAAGTTTTTTTTTTTCATTTTATTGTTGTTTTAAGTGTTCTTATATACTCTGGATAAAAGTCCTTAATCAGATATATGACTTACAAATAAATATTCTCTTCTATTCTTTGGGTTATCTACTCATTCTCTCAAGTGTAAGTGAAAGTGAAAGTCGTTCAGTCATGTCCAACTCTTTGCTACCTCATGGACTATATAGTCCGTGGAATTCTCCAGACCAGAATACTGCAGTGAATATTTTCCCTTCTTCAGGGGATCTTCCCAACCTAGGGATCAAACCCAGGTCATCCACATTACAGGCAGATTCTTTACCAGCTGAGCCACAAGGGAAACCCTAGAACACTGAAGTGGGTAGCCTATCCCTTCTCCCAAGGATCTTCCCGACCCAGGAATCGAACTGGGGTCTCCTGCATTGCAGGCAGATTCTTTACCAGCTGAGCCACAAGGGAAACCCTAGAACACTGAAGTGGGTAGCCTA